GGGGAGGGAGTGTAGGAATATTGCAGAGGCTATTGGGAGTATCAAGTAATTTTTTATCATGACAAAACCAACATCCTTTGACTCCCCTCCTCCCCCTCTTGGAGATAGATAATGGCCAGTCCCTAAATTATTGCGATTACGATTGTTTTGTCCTTTTTGTGATCTCTAGCATACGTTGCCGTTGGTTGTTACATGGAGAAACAAGATCGCGCAATTGAAACACTGGAAGGAAAGGATTCCATCTTGAAAGATTCCTACAATTCTCGTGAAAATCCCATTGCAAAGTGCGCCGTAGCTGCTATGAGAAAGGGGTACAGTATGTTTGCAGTTCAGGATGGTGGCTTGTGTGCTGCGGGTGTTACTGCGCCACAGACGTTCGACAAATATGGAAAATCCACATATTGTGAGGTTGATGGTACTGGAGGACCCGGGGCTATTAACGTATATTTGATGAAAGGTACGTTACAACAACTCTAAAGGAATACCCGATAATTGCAAACTGTCCTCCAAACTGTGTTCTATAGAAAATAAACGGAAGAGGGGATCTCAGATTCCCTTAAATCCCCCAAGTCGTCGTCTTCTCTTATCTATGCGTAAAGGATTCAAGAGCTCTGTTGTTCCCCTGCTCAAAGCAGATTCAATGATTACTGATTGTGATACGTAATGGTAATAGGTTTGTGTGGAGTCTAATTCGGTCTGTAGTTATGATATAGTAATAACAAGATCGGACGACCGCACAGCGGGAGTACGATTTCTTCAGCACAATTGTGATTACAGACAAAATTCGACGACACGAAGTCTTATTACCAATTACAATTTCCGAGAAAAAAAAAGAATAGCCAAGTTATGAGAGAAAGGGAAAATCTGCATTAAGACTGAAAATAAGAAGGCGTAAATTGTTTAATAGCACTCCAAACTTGATTTCAATCAAAATTTGATCATGATTGTTTGATGTTAAGTGCAACTTTGAACATGGTACGTCACAACCGGCTTTCACCACAACCGAAGGTATGTGAAAATGTATGGATGGAGTTAAAGCTACCGCGATGCGTACCATCTAAATTATTTATATCATGATCGTGATTTCATCTTTCTTTATCTTTAGAGTACGAAGTCGTTGGTTGTTATAAAGACAAACAAGATCGTGCAATCGAAACATTAGAGGGCAAGGATTCCATTTTAGATGGCGCGTACAATTCTCGTGCAAAGCCCATCGCGAAGTGCGCCTTGGCTGCCATGAGACAGGGTTACAGTATGTTTGCAGTTCAGAATGGCGGCTGGTGTGCAGCAACTGCTACTGCTCTGCAGACTTTTAACGAATATGGAAAATCCACGGGTTGTAAGGCGGATGGTGAAGGTGGACCCTGGGCTAATAATGTGTACATTTTAAGACGCACGTTTTTATGAAGGAGTATTAGGTGTAACGATGTCACTTTGATGGCCGCACAATAACCCAGATTAAACTATAAAACGAAACTAGTCTTTAATCATCCGCCATGACAACCGGAAAGCGTGGCCCATACAAATATCCACGATCCTTTGCAATGTCTTAGAACTTCCGCTAGAACAACTTCCGGTAGGATTACTATCAAAACATTACATCCCTTCCTTTCTTTAGAGACAAACAAACAACCGCAAAAAAAAAAAAAAATAAATAAATCTATCTGCATGAAAACTGTTCAATAAAACTTAATAACATGAAACCGAATCTAAAAGACTTCAACATAAGTCTAACGTGTCAACAGAGTTCAGTTCATAAAGTACGTAGTCCTTGTACTTCTACGGCATTCTGACAGTCCGTCTTGGTCTTGATGTCGCTATATCGTCCTCCAGTGGAAGGGTATTTGAAGCGTCTTGAGAAATGGCCTCTGTAGCTTCTGGTAATTCCCCTGGGGGGTTGTACCGCTTAACCAAGGCACTGTTTCGCCTGTATTCCACACCCTCTTTGGACCTAACAGTCACCTCACTGCCTTCTTTAGTCTGCACTGTGTGTGGCTCACTCTCAAAATTTGCTTCCAGCTTGCCAGACGTTTTCGTGTTCTTCAGTGAAACCAGATCCTCAGGCGCTACAGGGTTTTCGGTAACACCCCGCTCTTTGTCAGCATGTTCCCTGTGGACCAACTTGTGATTCCAATTACGATCTCTGACCTCCTCGTCCAGCAGGTTACCAGCGCACCCTAACACTCTGGAAGTTTTGTTTTCAACTCTCGGCCAAACACGAGGAACGCAGGAGTAACCCCAGTGCTTGTGTGCGGTGTGGTTCCTTATGCTAACAGAAACTTCTGCGGTTCTTCACGCCAGTTCTTTCCCTCGACGCGAGCAAATTTCAAAGACTTAGGCAGAGTTCTATTCTGTCTTTCGACATGTCCATTAGCCTGAGGCCAGAGTGGTGATGTCAAGTGTTCGATTCCGTGATCAGAAAGAAACTTCTCAAACTCCTTACAGCAAAACTGAGGACCATTGTCAGATTTGAGTGTAAATGGAAATCCATATCTGGAGAATATCTGTGTTAGCACATCCACCACTCTCTTAGCTGATGTTAAGCGCATGATCGCTACCTCGTAGAATCTGCTGTGATAGTCTACGACTACGAGTCAACTTTCTCCAGTGGGAAGAGGACCCAACAAGTCTATGGCGATGTCTTGCCAGGGTCTAGTAGGCGGCTTTACTCTTTTCATGTGCTCAGGAACTTGAAGTTCACCTACGAATTGGCATCCATGACAAGACTTACACATCCGCTCTGCGTCTGAGTCAATCTTTGGCCACCAAACCTTTGTCCTTAAACGTGCCTTCATTTAAACGATGCCTTGATGTCCCTCGTGGGCAAGACGCAAGACTTCTCCCCGTGAAGCCTTCGGAACATCAGTTCTTGTACCACGCAAAATAAGTTTGCCCAACACACACAATTCATCCTTGACACACACATAAGCTGTCATCTTACATTGACACCAGTCCCCACCTAAAATGTACTGTCTCAGGCTCGCAAGTCCTGGGTCACTTTCAGAAGTGACCCTGTTGTCAGAGCAACAGGTAAACTTTCCTCGGCGACTGCTTTGACAAAGTAAAATTCCTCCCCACTTGAGTCTTTAGGTTCATATTGATTGAGTCTCCTGAGAGAGTCTGCAATGTTCGCTTTGCCAGGCCGTTAAACCACTCTGTAGTCATACCACTGTAGTCTCAGAACCCATCGTTCAATACGTGCTGATGGTTTGGAAAGCTTGCCAAAAATACTCTCGAGTGTCTTGTGATCAGTTTCAAGTTCAAATTTCCGCCCGTACACAGAAATGTTGAACCTTTGACAAGCCCATACAAGGGGAACGGCCTCCTTCTCGGTCTGGCTGTATCTCCGTTCCACTTCGGTGAGGTTCCTGGACGCGTATGAGATTGCTCGCCACTCGCCGTCTTGAAATGGAGTCATCACCGCACTCAAACCCCGTGGACCTGCATCGGCAATAATGCGCGTGTTACAGTCTCCTCTGAAATACGCAAGCTATAAAACGAAACTACTCTTTATTCATCCGCCATGACAACCGGAAAGTATGGCCCATACAAATATCCATGATCCTTTGCAATGTCTTAAAACTTCCGCTCGGACAACTTCCGGTAGGATTACTATCAAAACATTACATCAGGTTTAGGCGACTTATTCGACACTTGTCAAAGGTTTGCTTCAAGGATGTCTCCAAACTTTGAGAAACTGCTCCTGATAACTACTTGCTAATTAATGTAATCATTTCATTTGCTCTTAGTCCTTTAGATGAAAAAAGTGTTGGAGGTCATGATCACTCTTTAAGTCACTCGGTCCAACCACCGGGAGAACGTACTCGATTATGAACGGCCCTTAAGACCAAGAATTCAATCTTCAAGTCTTATAAGCAGATAATTTTTCTGTTCCTCATTCATTAAATAAACGTTGTCGGAAAAAGAGATGGCGACGAATGATTACCCTTAGATTCTATGTTTTATGTATCGTACGCATCGCACACAAGGATCACGCCGGTAGATTACATATATTGCTTAGGCCTCGCGAAGGGAAAGACTTGGGGGAGTGAGCATGTCATTGCTGCCTGTTTCCATATCAACCGAGTTTGCTGGTGTATAAACAAAGGGTTCGAGTCTTTGCAGATGATTATTTAAGGAAAGCAAAATAAATAGCGTCACCTGCGAATATGCACACTGTTTTTCTTTTTCATCGGGTCAAGCAACATAGGACTACATGCAGCGGCGGACTGGAGACTAGATACCGCCCACAACTTACGGGGGTCACGGTTGGGGTTATCGTTACGGTGCATTGCTTTTCGCTGCAATAAAGATGAAACGTGTTCGCGAAGATGAATATCTGCATTTTACATGATTGAAAAGTATTCATCGAGTACTTCTCTTAAAATCGAAGCTGGGGATGCTACAAGGAGGTTAAAAAAATTTTATTCAGTGACTCAGTTAAGCGCGGTTCTGCAGCCTCTACTGGTCGTTACTGATGATATTTGTTGTTTGGTTATTTTGACTGTAAGGATTTCAATGCCGCAGGATAAACCGCTGTTGAAACCATACTTGCTGAGAATAAATACAAAAGTGCCCGGTCTCACCTCAAGAGTTTAAGCAAAGTTTTCAGATCAAACTGGATCTCGCTCAAAATATAGTGCACTTGAACCATTTTCTTCCCTGACCGAGTGACTCGATAGGTGCAAAGCGGGGACTAGGGAGAGAAACAGTAAAATTTCGTCCCAAGACTTACTCTTTCGAATGTCATTTTTTTTAGTTCCTAATCTTGTTCACTGGAGCGTAATTTTGTTGCGTTATTTTGAAATCGTGTCCAAGTTTTCTCAATTATTTACAATTCCCTCATCTGCTTTGATAAAAGAAAGATAGATCCCTTTGAGCCGGGTTCAGGAACAGCGACTATAAACAGTTAAAGGTGAGAAATATACTTTCAACCGAATAATGTGAGGTGATATTTTAAGATGCAAATCCTTCGATCGAATCGAACTTTTAAATCGCTGCATCTTATTTTAGCTGACGACTTTTGACTGAAAATCATTTCCTTTGGCCTCTTGTCCTCTCGAGAGAAAAAATCATATGCTATGCAAGCACAATGCGGTACCACAGATCTTAGACATGTATGACATGACGGTATGACTGTTTAGATAAACTCACATGAAAACGAATTCTATAAACGGAATCGTGTTGTTACCGAAGGAAATTAAGAATGGGTTGACCATGAGAAGTCACCATTTGAATCATCTACATTATAACCATTACCTCTTAAAATGCACTTAAACCTAAAGTAGTTGAGTGATCGCCTGAATAAATGAGGTTTACAATTTGCAAGTAACATACCAAATAATATATTTCATCGTTACGCAACTGAAACAACACGACGTTGCTTCTCGACGTCGTTCGAGCTGTAGTATTTGATATGATGCGTGTACAAGAGAAAATAATTTACCATAATTTTCTCGTGGCGTACATCGCAATCACATTCGTCTATGAAAGCTTGACGTGATAACTTAGGTTTAATTAGCAAATTAATATTTTGTGCGGACTCTTGTTAGGTGGTTCATTGCGTGATTACCATGCATATTGAATGACCAAACGTTAGGGTAAATGTTAATCTGAAATAAAGCTTGGTTCGAGTTGCTGTAGATGGGGTAGTCATCTTAAATTTGTATCCTGTAGTTAACGGAACAATGACTCTCTATGAAACAGCACTCCCATTAAAGAAATTGCCCAGGTATTACTACGTTTAGGAAGTAAATTGCCTTCAGTTAATTTTCACGGTTAATTTATTCTAATTAGCAAAGATTATTCTGTAATCTGTTAGAACAGTTGTCGGGGGTTCCCCGTCTGGTGTGCTTTTAAACATGACGTAATGTTAAGTTTGTCACCAAATCTTAAGAGCTTTTACCTAGTCCTCGCAGGAGTAAATAAACAAGCTGTTGAATTTCGAGGCCCAGTCGGCTTTCAAGGCAATTTTCGAATAAATCTCAGAAGTTTGAAACTTCATTTTTATATGACACATACGTTGTGTCCACGCAACGTATGTGTCATATAAACGGGAGGGGGGGGAGGGATGGCTGGGATGCGAAGGAAAAAGTTTTGCAAAAATTTGGAAAATTAGTTGACTTCAAGCGGTAGTGAGTGCTTAATTGCGACAAGCAACGTTTTATCCTCAGTTAAACTTTTTGTTCATCGAGAAGAGTCATATTCCAGCTGTATACTCAAATGCATACGAACCTTGATAAAGAGGGAGGCAATCTGTATGCAATCGGGAGCTGTTTTCAGAGCTCACTGAGTCGCGAATCACCCAGCAATCTGTATCCGATCGGGAGCTATTTTCAGAGCTCACTGAATCCCCGATCGCTCGGCAATCTGTATGCGGAGAGTCTTACGAGCCTCCCATCACGATCGAAAAAGCGTGATCGGATGCAGTTAGATGAAATAGCTACTGCGTGTACGGAAATAAATACCGCCAGATAATGTTCGGCTCGGAAACAAGTTTTTAAACATCACGAAAAGTATGCTGATGATCAGTTCCAGTCATGGGATAGAACTATCATAAAAAGCCCGAAGGAAACTATAATCCTAATTAAATAGCGCATTTGTTTCTATGCTCTACTTGTTTTTTTTTTTTCTTTCGTCGATTCGGAAAAAACTTGCGTTAGAGCGATGCAAAGACTTTATTTCGTCCTTCATTTATGATATAAGTAATTTTACGATGAGACAATCGAATCCTAAGCGAGAAGGAATAGAAACGCCCGCTGTTTATCAAACTGTCGTAGGCTTGATATAAAGCGAAATGTATGTTGCTTAAGTTGTAGCGGGAGATGAAAGTGTTATGGCTTTTGGTAAAAATCGAACGCAAATGACTTTTAAAAATACAGAGCTTCAAATAGCCAGTTTAAAATACGCGCGCTTTAAATGTGATATCAGAAACAATAGATGAAATAATAAGTTACGAGGCCTTTGTTTCTTAGCTCCGCCTTTACAAGTTAATGCATGAGCTAAGGCAGTATTCCCCTCGAAGGAAAGCGCGCGTGATGATTAGACCAATGAGACCCTCCCTGTTTACGCTTCACCGCTTATATTACAGATCTATAATATTTCCGCCGCTGTAAGTAAATGTCGCGAGAACAATAGGCATTCTGCCCAATGTGATTTCGATTACGGGCCATAAAATCAAGTTTATGGCCATAATCGTTATTTCTTTTGTTGCCGTCAACTGGAATGTAAGTACGCATCAAAATTAATTTGCTTAAGTTAGGGCCTGTTTACTGTGAAGGTGGGGGATCCAAGGTAGGTGAAGTAACCCGCCTAGCTATGGTGGAAAAATAGCCCGGGTTTACTTACAGTCTTACAGCCCTGGGATCCCGGGGTGATGGTGTTGGCGTGCTTGTTAATGCAACATGAAAGCGATCCCGGCTAGGCGTATTGCCCCATCTTGAGAAGTTTACATGGCAAATTGCTACCCCGGCTGACAGGGCAACCCAACCCAGCAGACTATGCAACCCTCCTGGGCGGATAATGGAAGAGATTATATGGACAGACGGGTAACCCCACCTAGGCGGGTTACTTCACCTCCTGGGGTCCCCCCCCCAGCTCCATATATATGTAAACAGGCCCTAAAGTAAAGTTTCATTAATTTTCAGTGCAGCTCATACCAGGGTACGTCGAACACGATGTATATCAAGGCTAACAAACCAGTTCTGTTCTATTATAAAAAGTGCAAACTGATTGAAATGAAGTCTAGGAGCGTCCAGCCAGTGGAGCGTCTGAGTGGATTTTCCCAATAATGTATTTTTGAATATAAATTGAATTACATCAAATATTTTAAATAGTAGTCCTCTGTTTTCCCCAGATAACGATATGGCATCCACCAGCACTTCAGGAACACTGGGTCAAATGGCTAAACCAGAATACAGGAACTGGCTGGCACTCGGTCATGCCTTGACAACTGTTTTGTGCCAGGGTCTTCGTCCGTTTGTAACGCAAGAGGTGGAGGCCTTGCATAGGTATGTAACGGCAAGAGTACCCACACCTTGCACGTGTGTACATGTCCCGAGAAGGAGACCAAATGAGTACCACGACATGCGCAAATGTATAGGGGCACAAGTCTTGGCCGCCTGTCACCACAGGTGCAAACCAAACTGGAAACAAAGTGATCCGGCCAAATGGATGGACCCACTGCTTGGTCCGTGGGAGATTGCAAAACTCTTCCTTCCCTATCTGGGTGGACATGTTAATATCCGGAGTGCAGACGACATGGACATAAATGGTATCTTGAACTTAATGTACTGGTGCAATCATTTCACCATTCCTCAATCCCTAATCAAGGATGTTAGAGATATAAGAAATGAAGGAAGCGCTCACACGACGAAGCTTGAGATATCTGATGCTGCTAAGACAGCCGCTTTTGATGCTATCGAAAAATTGCTAAATGATAGTCAGCTGGCTGCAGATGAAGACGCAAAAAAAGCTCTCGGAGAAGTTATTAGTCTCAAAAGCATTACAGACTTGCACAGTAGAGAGGCTCAGATTTTGGCCGACTTAAAAGAAGTTATACATGAAAATATGTTGAGCTTGACGGAGGAGTCTGAAAGAAACAGAGTGCTGGTTACAGAGCTGCAAGAGCAGCAGGAATTTTTGGAGATGGTTGTGGAGGATCTGACCCAAGAAAACAAGTCCTGGATAGTGAGAATAGCCGAGTGGATCTTGGAGCTTATGATCTTTACGTTCGGAATCCTCTTTGCGCTCATAAAAGGTTTCAGGACGGAAATTCTATTTATGTTCCTGTTTTCAACCTTCTGTGCCGTTCTGGATTATGACACACTGATTAAAGACGGTAAGTTGAAAATTATGGAGCACAATTGCCATATTGTCGGCATACTTTGATGCTTTCCTAGTATTCTTCACCCAATGAAAAAGCCGTTTGTGGAGCCTTATTTCGATGACTGAGTACTGGGAACAATATCTGCAGTGGGTTTTTTCGATTTAACTTCAGAAGCATGATGTGCGGTAAACGATTTAGCAAATGGCTGATAAATAGAGTTTTACTTCCTATCTACGCCCCTCCTTAGATTATGCAATAGGCGTGAACAGTTCCACAGGTTATCTCTTACCGGCATCATTTTATTTTGCGAAGGATGTTCCATTAAACAATACGAAGATCGGTGGACCCGGAAGCATTTTGACTTTGACGACTTCGCTACTACATCGAGAGCAGGTTTCATCGGAAGACAGTGGTTATATCGTGATATAGAAGAGCTTAGGGAGAATTTAAGCAACCGTGGCGTATTGCTTGTTGGAAATCCTGGTTCTGGTAAGACGGCTTTTGTCTCGAATTTGCTTTGTTCAAGAGCTGCAAGCCCACTTATTCATGATAAAATAGCTGGTTATCACTTTTGTATGCATTCGGACAAAGGAACTCAAAATGGGGCCAAATTTGTGGAAAATCTTGCCAATATGATTTCCTCAACCTTCGTGGAATACGGCAAAATCGTTTCGAGAGATTCCTTTGTTCGTCGAGTGTTACAGAAGGATTGTGCTCAAGCCCCAGATTGGTGCTTTCAGGAAGGAATCCTCACACCTCTGAAAAACCTGCTACACCCACCGAAAGAGACCTGGTATATTGTTATTGATGCCTTAGACGAGTGTTCAGTCGATGGCCAAGGAGAAATTTTAAAGATGCTGAAGTCTAAAGTGCGACGCCTCCCAAAGTGGTTAAAAGTGATTACTACATCGCGTAATGTAAGTTCTATCACTTCATACCTTGATGGTGTGAGAATACTAGAACTGAAATCAAAGGACGAAAGAAACTTAGAAGATATTGTTACTTATTTATCTCTTAAGATATACCCTTTGAAAACTTCAATTTTACATGATTTAAAGACTTACTTTTCAATCAAGAACAACAGTTCTCTTAGACAACAAATCGTTACCAGTATTATGGAAAGAGCTCAAGGTAATTTCTTATTTGCGAGGGTCCTATTAGATTGTCTTCTTGGAACACCGGAAAGAGTCAGTTGCACTGACCAGGGCTTTCCTAAAACACTTGATAACATTTTCCAACTGAACTTTGAACGTAAGTTTAGCTCACGCGAATCATTTCGCCCCTTTCGAGAGATTTTTGAAATCTTGGTTGCCGCCTATACGCCTCTATCAGCTGAAGACATATTTTATGTCTTAAAACGTGACTACCCTGACCTTGACTATGAATACGATTTAATGCCAAAACTTAAAGAGGTGTCACTGTTCTTCTGGGATAGATCAGAAAAGGGACTTGTTCGCATTTACCACTCTTCCTTGTCTGATTGGCTGACCAGAGAATCCAATAAGGGAAACGATTTTTACGTCAAGAAACAGAAAGGCCATAGACGTCTTGCAGAATATTACCTTGAACAGTTAAAGAGAAACATGAAAGCCTTGACACCAGCAAAAGCTTTGTATTTAGCTTGCCACATCGTGGAAGCAGGTTCAAATAAGAATCAAGTGGATGAGTTTCAGGCACTGTCTTCAAATCGCGTCAACGGATCGGATGAAGTAAAAACCACCTCATTACACTTAAGTTCACGCTTGGTAAACCCAGAAATTACTAAGCTTTTAATGACGCATTTTGATGATATGGATTGTCTGGATAATAACCATCGCACGCCTGCCTTCATTGCTGCAACTAGCGGAAATCTTGAAAATCTTATCATCCTTTCTTCAAAAGGGGCAGACATCAATTACACCGTCTCTTGTCCAAATTTTAAGGCGCCAACAGATGTGCGAAAAGCTCTGCGGGAATGTAAAAGAAGAACGTGCGAATATTCATCGTTGCACATAGCTGCGCAGGAGGGAAATGTTGATGTCGTTAAATTCTTAATCGACCATCATGTGAGTAAATCAAAAACAACAGGCTGTAATAACACTGCCGTCCAGTTGGCAGCCGCAAATGGGCATCTCGAGGTCGTTATAGCTCTCAAAAAGGCTGGCGCTTATTTAGATGGAATTTCCCTACATCATGCGGCTGCTAGAGATCACCATCACGTCGTGGAATATTTATTAAAAGAAGGCGTTAGAGATCTCTGTATAGATTTTAGTCCTTTCATTGAATTCTGCCCGGCAACCAATATTAAAGGTATCAAAGTTCATGTGTACGACAACATCCACTTGAAAATAGGAGAGACAGCGCTTCATGTTGCAGCCAAGAATAATCACCCATCTGTTATAAAAACTCTGCTACGTTATCGTGATGAAGAGAGTGCTATCAATTGCTCGAATGCGGCGGGAAGATGGCCCCTACACGAGGCGGTTTACTATAACAATTATGACGCACTGCAGGCGATGCTAGCTGCAGGATTGAATATGTCCGTACGTTGTAACTTACGACCCCGAACGTCATGCCTAATACAGAAGTGCTGCCCTTGTGAATTTACCCCGCTTCATATTGCAGCCAAATATGGTCATCACAGTGCTGTTCAGCTACTAATTACAGAGAAAGCAGATTTAAATGCAGAAGATTGCAATGGTTCCACACCACTTCACATAGCTTCCTGTCATGGAATGGTGTCAATTATTAACCTTCTCGTGAAAAGTGGGGGAAACATCAATAGCAGAAGCTTTAATGGATCAACTCCCTTTCATAGTGCTGCTGCATGCTTTGCTACAAGTGCTTTTTGGCTTTTACTAGACCTTGGTAGTGATTTCTTCGCGAAGGATAGTAAAGATATGACAGCACTACATTATGTTGTAAAAGACATAGAAGTAGTTGGTAGAGAGTACTTTGATGACTTGTATGTTCAAGAGCCAAAAGATTGGATTGAAGTTGGACCGAAAGAGAAAGAACCATGGGAGAGAGTCAGACACCAACGCTTTTGGTTGAATGTAATGATTGCAATGAGCAAGAGTTTCGTTACCAATATGGTCGAAAGGGAATTACCGTATTCCTTAAATTCAGTATTGTACCTATATTCTTCTGTATTTTTTGAATTAGGGAAAAAAGCAAACGCTTCTTCTGTCCTAACTGGGAACAACGGGTTAGATCAAAGTTCCCTAGTGATTATAGCAATGCCATTTGCATATTTCTATGACGTAACTTTCCAAGCTCTCCTGAAGAGTCGCGTTTTTACTATTAACAGACCATATGAGCCAAGCGTAGTTCCAAAACAGTTAACAAGAGCAATATCAAACACGTTCACAATATTTTATCCAAACGTACGTAACTGCACCATTCTTACCGTTGCGGTAAGGGCCAATATGGCTCACACTGTAAACACTTATTTACAAGCAGGCGCGGATGTTAATTGTCAAGATCAGTCTGAGCATACTCCGCTCTCATCATATTTACACAGTGGTGGCCGTCACATGTCGAAAGTCCTAGTAAAACATGGAGCGACAGTAGAAATCTCCTGCGATCAGCCCTTTGAAAAATCTACTCTGCATTTGATATCTTACCACAAGTTACATTATTTGCACTATCTTCCTCAGTTCTTGCGTGGAGATGAAAAGTGGTCCAAATTCTTATCAAATGAAAGTTTTTTATTTGACTACTTTTTAAACAGATATGAAGAGGTCCGCGAAGAGGGACGCACGCGGACAATCCACACTGGGGATGGACCCTTGACAAGTGCAATGAAATTGCATCCTCGTGGAACTAAGATTTTGAATGAATGCTTTGACGCTGAAGGCTATAACGCCTTACACAGAGCAGCACAGGGTGCAAACGTGGTTGCTATCGAGAAATTCCTTTCCTGGGGAGCTGATCCCACCCTAAAAAATTCTGACGGATATTCCCCACTATGGCTTGCTGTGTTCTATTCGGTTAAATACACACCATTTTTAAATTTGCGTGGGAAAAATTTCTTGACGGATTTAGAAGTGGATCTCGCATCAGAATCTGCATCAGTCATTTTAGACCATGTCCTTCAAACTAATATGATAGATATTGGCTGCAGTGAAAGTCAACTCGATTTAACAATATACCATATCGCAGCCATTCGAGGAATGTGGAGGTTTATATCTTATCTACTTTCAGAGAGGCGTGTCAAAGGAATCGATGTCAACTGCCCTAATAAAGATGGTATAACTCCATTGTATCTCGCAATGCTCGTTGGTGGCCTGAATTGTGAGTGGCCAAACCCTTGGTGCAAGGTTGTGGAAATAATTCGCCTGCACGGTGGAATACTTCAATTTCCCACCCTTGAGGCTGAATACTTTCTTATATTTGATCTCTTTTTTGGAATGAGTCCAGATCGAACGTACTCGGACTTAGCAGAAGAAGAAATTATCACACTTCAAGCCAATGTCGAACGTCACGACTGCGAAGGATATGAATTAAACACCGACCTGTCTAAGACTTCAGGGGAACTTTATAAGCTTCACAATGATTACATTAAAAAAATTAAAAAGTGTTCCAGTGGCAGCGAAGAATGTTCACCAGAGATCAATCGATATTTGTTCCAATTAGAAGCCCTTAATTTAGTTTTACATAAACTGTACCGCTTCAAATTGCAACACACTATTATTAGGAGTGGTTTTGTTAGATTTCTAGAGGAGGAAACTTGGCGAATGCAAATGTTTTTGCTACATGTTACTCAACCGCATGAAAGGGTGTCTTGCAGATTTGGTAGAAAACGAAACGAAAGAAAAACAAAAACTCAAGGCAAAATCGGCATTGCTGATCGTGGACTTGACGACAAGGAAGGCGACAACGAAGATGAAAAAAACGATGACGACAACGATGACAAAGACGCCGGGAACGGATGTGAATGCATGAACATAGACCGGGCTCTTCGAAAGTCTTACAGCGATTTTAAGACAAGCTTTGATCAGATGCAAAAGCTATCTGAACAGGCGATATCATCTATCTCATCCATGGGGAAGAAGTCCCCTCGTATTCTTCTGAAGTTAAATCGCGCGTTGCTCAAACTTGATACTACTATGGCATGCGACTGGCAAGCAATTACAAGGAAGTATATAACATTAAACTTCCAAATTCAGATCTCAAAACATGGCACCTTACATGTAAATGAGCATTCCAGGGTTGTTAGTATCACAGACTTTGCTTCAAGTCGTATGAAGAAAATATTCATTGATTCATCTACGGAGACACTGGAGCTTGCTTTAAAACTTGCGTCGGAGAAGTCTTCAACCGTATTAGATGATCTTTATTATCTTACAAATTTAAAATTTAGAAAGCCACCCCTTTGGAAAGGTACCTTTGATTTATGGGGTTGATACAAGTTACTCTCAAACTTATTCCCTCGAGTTAAGTACCCCAGGATCAAACTCAAGCTGCTAACTTACACTAAATTGTTTGTTTAAAAATTCCTCCTTTCATATTAATGAGTAAAATGATCTTCAAACCAAGAACAACACTGAACCACAACGTATTCAGCTAAATGTATTTTCAATCATGGTTATTCTTTCTTTTAGCCAGTTTCAGATAAAGAAGTCGTGTCGAATCAGTTTAAATTACAAGAGTTAACCTGATTAAGGAAGGCATGTTTGCCAATATCTATGGTGGAACCGTGATCTCTTGTTCAACCAACCTTAATGGGGCAAAACTGATTGCACCGCCTTGAAGGAGGTATTTTGGAACTGAATCTATCAGTCATTGGGACTGAATTTCTTTAGATCTCACGTGAAGAGTGAATAATGATTAGCACTTTATAAGTACTGAAGATCAAAGGGGTTTCAGCTGAACCTTATTGCACAAGTTTTATTCTGACTGTGGCAATTGCTGTGGTAAAAAGTTTGAGGATTGGTTATTTTTCTGCTCTAATCATTTACCATCAAATAACTTTTGTATTGTATTCAGAAAAGGAGCTGTGTTTTAAGCCTACTTTAGCAACCTCAGCTAGAGGAAATTCAATCAATATCTTGAAACTTGAGAAACTTGACTAAATTCAAGAATAACTGTTTTTATCTAATTAAATTCTTTTTACAAAACTCTTTCTTTTAGTAGTGTGTGGATAATTCACGGCCTTTAATTCCAATCAAAATCGCTTAAATGGGTTTTGAAATGACACGAGTCCAAATCTAAATTCCTTGTGTTTCAATTTTCATTGAAAGGTAAACGGAACATCGACCATTCTTAAAATGCTTTAGTGTTACCGTATTTCCTCTAATAAGCGCCCGGGCGCTTACTTAAAATTTCGGCAAGCAACCAGGACCCTTATTCGGAGGAGGGCGCGTAATTGATGGGGCGCTTCTTCAATACTGTATCTTTATTTTGGCTAAATCTTGAAAGGAAAAACAGTAACCATAAAATTATCGATCCACGTAGACAGAAAGTCCATATTAACATCTTTTCTTTGTTTAAACAATAGGGGAAACACTTATTTGCTTAACAAGCTGACAGGGAAGAAACTAAGAATATATGACGATAAAACCAATAGGTCTTTACAAAGTAAAGCATGTGTATGACGCCGGCAGTTCAAACCTTGTTGGTAAAATTTCGATTGAGCTCTTACTCCTTATAATCGTGGAATCGATTTGTCCCAGAAGGTTAGATATATAATGGTGTAGTTGTGCCTAGAAAATTATTGGATCGGAAAGGAAGCTATACTCTTTTACTGAGTCCTCTGCAGTTGATGGTTACAAAGTTATGAATAAATTGACAATAGAGACAGGGCATTTTTTTATATCCCTACAATGTTGAGAAAGCGAGGCAAGACATGGGGAGTGCTTACTTGATATTTTGGTCTCAGGGGTGGGCACTTATTCGGGAGAGGGCGCTTATTTGAGCGTGGGTGCTTATTCGAGGCGATACGGTAATTGCTATTAAATTGAATTATATCTTTGCTGTTTTCAGCAGATGATACGAACGCTTGTGTCACGGTTTTCCAAATTTCGAATTAGATAACTTTTCTTAGAAGATCCACATTACTGAATAGTCTATGACGAGGTTAAAGTCTTCTCATCAAATCAAGCTTTAAGTGTCCTTTCGAGTTTCAGTTTTTTTTATTTCGCAGTTCGATTTTGTAACAATTTTCTACCTTTGAGTTTTCAACTCCTGGCTTATAAAATCTTAATTAATTGGCCAAAGACTGACAATGCGCTCGCCGTTTCCTTTTTAATTCAAGAACCCGTGGTGTTTCACCATTGTTTCAAACTGTTACAGACTGGAGTCTTCAACTCTTATATAAACAGTTGCAGAACGAACCTATTTAGTCCTCGATTTTATTCGTGGTGTCCCTGTCCTGCGTATAATAGCAATATCTTAATCACTTCACAATACTAACGCTTCAGCTGGCTCTTCTGTCATTCAGCTCTGAAAATCCGCACTACCCCTAAACCAGCTTTAATTATAACATAACAAAAGTAAAGCGCGCGCTCTGATTGGTCAATTTAGCGTCCCCCATTTGCCCATGGGTGTACGCTGCTGACGTGAGCAAATGCAAAGACTATTTTTCCGCGCGCGCTTGTTTTTTCTGCTCACGTAAGATTTGTTAAATAAAAGGGAACTCTTTAGCCACAATGTATCAATGTTATGTTATAAAACAAATGGTAAACACCACAGTGTACGCTATTGAGTTATGGATGCACGCGGGAGGCTGCTAAGCACGAAAGAAGCGTAAGAGTCGCTCTAGGCGATAGCCGAGAGCGACTCTAGCTTCTTGAGTTTTCTTTGTTCAACAAGCAAGCGGGCTCGTATGTGTATAACTAAGTTCAAGGTGATGGGCCGGGTTGTTTAAAGCTGGGTTAAGGTTTGATTTCATATCTGAAAGGTTTAACAGAAAATTCAATTTAAATTCTTCAATTTGTCTTCAATTTGATGATTGGATGTTCTATAAAGAATGGAGAAAATTTTCCCTAAAGGGCTTTTTGAACGGAGAAAGAAAGAGACCTGGATTAAAATTTAACCCTGAGTTGCGCAAATCGGCCTTCGAACAACTAGACCCAGAGTTATAATTTTGACGGCTACAAAACTGTAGGCTAAACTTTTGAAGCTATTTATTTGCGAATCCCACATTTATTTTTATCCTCAAGCCTTTTTTTATTTGCTTTTTATCAAGACAAGCTATCATGTTCATTTAAAACCAGGTTGAAAATATCAGGGTGAAAGTCCACGATTTAAGTTTAAAATCGGAGAGACTTTAGCTCGGACGTGTAGTCGTCTCCTAGGTTTGTCAAACTCGAACGATTATACAAAAGAAATCTAACGTCGATTAAAACGAAAACAAAACGAAACTCAACATTTTTATCTCGACAAGAGAGCAAGTCAAACTTGACTCCAAAAGGCTCGCTAAAAACCTAACGATTCCAATCACAGGTAAATTTGGGAATAATCCTGATACGAAAGCCAAACAAATTAATTCAGCCGTGGAACTCCATTCAATCACAACTGAGCACAACAGCATATAGGTGACGCGTACTCAATCGACCTCGTCGCCTGAAGAAGACTAGCAGTATGCTTTTCTCTTCTAGAGTAAATTTAGCTCTTGGAAAGATAACAAGTGTTCACAGTTAGCCATATCGTTCACAGGAGAGGCGGTTGCTACACCTCACCTTGGACGCAGGTTCAGAGGGGAAAGTAAAGGGAGGGAAGTACATGCTAATCTCAAGATCAAAATAGGATTTTTCCCAATTGTTATAATGGATATGATCTCATGATCTCATGATCAAGCTGGATAGGGAAATATACTTTCTTGTAATGCATGAACTGGATACCATATTTAATTTGACGTGACCGTGTTCAGTCAAGGTGAACGATGCTAGCTCCTTAAAACCTTTGCAAAACGTTTGAATACAACAAAAGAGGAGAAATTCATTGCATGATTAATAAAAACAAAGCTGATAAAAATTTGACAAAATGTACCTAATTTTGTATCCATGCAAACGTAATGCATTGATAAGCAGCATCATTCTTTCTGTGAGGACTGGGGAAAAGTATTCATGACCCCATGAACGAAAATATTACAGTAACGAAATGTTTTGATGAACGGAAAACTGCGAGCAAGTATTATTCTATCAGAGGCTTCAAATTCACTGTTCAGGCATCAAAGCTACAAAAAAAATCGCAATTTTTAATCAAATGGTGCGCAAAAGTTCACAAACGACGCACGCGAGTTAGTTCGAGGTCTAAAACCAAATCGCAATTACTTGTAGAGGCTAAGCAGTGTTTGACTGCTACCCTAATTGGTGGTCTCTTACAGAGGTTCACTCTGGCCGAAAGAAATTTATTTAGGTAAATTCGATTTAATTGTTCAACGTCTCTAACGGTTTTGACGAAACTCTATGATTCATTACTTTACAAAACCACGCCAAGCTGATGAAAAATCTTTGGATTAGTTAACTCTGTAAAATTTACTCCTGGCGAAACTGCTCTCTCTAAGAAAATACAATTCAGGCTAACTAGCAGCCCAGTTTAAGTTTCAGGAAAATAGTGCACGACATATTTTGAAACTACTTAGAAGTATGCAGTAAATATATCGTATTAGACGTTTTGTTGCGTCATATCGCTGAGTATTTTAAGAGTTGTGCCGTATTTTGACGGGCCCGAAGGGCGAGTAAAAATACAAATGTTCCCTCAACGTTATTAATTATTAACGGACAATAGGCAAACTTTGATTGACAGTTAGGAACAATTTGCACTTTGAATGGTTTTAGTTTCCTGTCTACTCATAGCACGTTTCGGAAAAATGTGAATCAGCCGCTTACCAGATACAGGAGTTTAAGTTCGCCGAGTTCGGTAATTCAAGCCGCAGTTTCAGTTCAGTAGTTCATAGTTTATGGAAACCCGCCACAGAAGTAGGTTTGGTTTGAGTTTTCTACGGTAATTCTTTATTTATTTTTTAGGGATCTCAACGTAGGTGAATACCACAAATAACTGTTGTGAAATTTGTTGATTTCAGATCGAATAGTTATATCAATAAACCGTTGATTATCCCGTATACGGTCGTTTCCGTAAACTTCTAAAGTTGTCGACTCGTCAGTGGTCCAACAAACAACGAGGGAAAATACTCAGCGATAATACACAAAAAAAACGTGTAATAAGAAAATTATTATCCATCACGCCAAATTGTTTTTCAGTGCGGGCGAATTTCACAGATATTTATTTACGGGGAGTGCGTGACAGAATTGTCCGCCATTTTTTCCCCAACTTCATCGCTGTCGAACCGGTTTTCTGGAGTACAAACACCGCGGGATATTTGTACTCGTTTTTGGCGTTATTTGTACTGTACGAAGCACAGTTGGATACTAAGAGTTTTTATCTACTTCGTCTACGATTTTACTTATTAGTTTGTGTCTTCTAGTTCATATCTTAAGGAACTTGATTTCCAAATCTGTGGATTGTAGCTTGGTCATAAAACAGACCCAGTGAGGTTTCCTTTTATGAGTACTGGACGACGTACTGCGCGGGTCTGTATGGAAGACAAAAAATTCGAAAATAAATTTGAATAGTTCTTGCTAAATTTGACTGTACACTGATGATATTTTTCTCGCATCTTTGAATGATTTAAGTCATTAAAATCTGTTAACTCATTGATTCATTGACTTTCACTTGCATATGGTTGACTCCGTGATTAAAAAATTACCTCGTCTTGTTCAACAAAGCTCTTTCTCGGCCACAAATCTTCCTGTTTCCGAGAGGTAGAATAGGCATCATTCGAATATTACTTTGGAAGACCCTAAAAGGTGACCGTCACTGTTGAAAAACATTTAAAACAAGTGCAGAAACGCAATGAGTAAACATGCATATACTCAACACAACATGGAGCAGACTAATAGTAGAGGCATCCCAAATCAATCCAGTTTGACCAGAGAACATTGATTTTATCTTGAGTTTGATTAATGGTTTTAACACAAGCTCTATCATTATTAGAAATAATGGGAGCAGGTGCTTAGCTAGTGCTTTCAATCGAGTTCTGATTTAGCTACGATAGAACGAGGTTTTGTAGATACCGAGTGAAAAATTCCTGAGTGACTTTGTTGATGCGTATTCTGGATCAGTTAGAATTATTTTAGATCATTCTAACAATTTTTTAGACGATAAAATGTCATGAATTTATGCATGTACCTTAGAACACTTCTCTCGCTTCCTTAGCTGCCACTGCCATGTAGACCTTAGCACGCTGAATGCTCCAACAAATTGACACAGAATTCCAGTATCATGAATGGTCTACTTTGTCTTCTCGTGATGCTGTAGTGATGCGTACGCTCTGGCTTAAAAATTATGTACTCCTACAGTGATTAGGTCTTGCAGTAACTAACTAATTGGTCCACGTAGTTTCACCGGAAGTTCTGTATGTTTTTGCTCGTGTCCTCAATCGATCATTCCACCAAGTCTCAGTCGTTTTCCTGTGGCGTGTAATGCGTCCCTGGTGCTATCCTGACCAGGTTGACGCGATGAACACAACGATTCTCGTTTTTAGCTTCTAGTCATCTCAAGGACATAGCTCTTGAGCAAAAATCCAAATATTTATTTAACAATATCCTTAATTATTCGTTTATTTTTTAGTTTGTAATGGCCGAATTTACTTCACATTTATACTTACTTCTCAGCTTTAATTTATTCGTTCTTTATTTGCTTTACCTGTTTATATCGTTTAATAGCATTTGTTTAAGAAGGTACCTTTATATTTTAGAATTGTTATATGTTTTAAAATCAATGGAGTAATAAAGAAATATACTGATAGATTTAGTGTAAATGATTGGTCTTAATGAAAATGACCCTCTTGAGGTTCACGGGGGCAGGCCATGCTGAAGGCGAATAGCGTTTAGGCCAAAATTAAACCGAGCCGGTGAACTATGAATTGGTCAAAGACAGTTGTACGTCGCACGGAACTCTGGTCGTTGGTAGATGCTGATAAAGCGCTGAAAACTAGAAAAGGAAAACAGATCAGTATCTGCGTAAAGTTGTGTGTGATGTGATACATACGTCGACGTTAGGGATATCTGAGCGAGTATACTTTACTGCCGAAAACACTGATTGCTATGCGAATTTTGTTACACACCTAATGTAGTACTTGTAAAAAAAATCCTCAAAAAATTCACTACATTTGCATTTTTAGGTCTAATGTAATGTCCTTTTCAACCGTTAAAAGTTGTATGGACGTACCTGTTCGGATTAACCGGCATTGCCATTATTTCCGTTCTGCGTCACACTTTTAGATCCCTCCACAAACGTTCGATATCGTCTCTGTAACTCAGGATGCAGTTCAGTTTGGGTAGAATTCAGCCTTGAGGTCGGGTTACTGCTCAGGGGACCGGAGTGAATATCATTAAATAATAATATTCGGTCACGCTTCCTGGAAGAAATCTGAGAAACTTAACAGGCACCAATTGAAAAGTAGCATTGGCTTTGATTATTCCAGCTCGTACTCTTCAGTCAAGACTAAGTTATCACACAAATCCGTGTATTTCCTCGTCCCCTGCCCAAGTGTAAATTTTAGGTATGATATTTGATACGTCCACAACATCTGACATTGGTCGTGTCCCACACAAAAGTCCCATACAAAGGATAAAGCTGTACAAGCAATTTTCTGGGGACAATTCTCACCTAAAGAAAGTTGCGTGCTGTCAGTAGGATATAGCTTTCTGATGAAATTGATCCGTAACGTCCGAATTTCTTCCCTGTACTAATGGCTGAGGTTTTTTTCCTCGTAAACGTTTCTATAAAGAGGATTATAGAATAGTATCACCATAACAACGGTCCAGGGTGTAATTCCCTTGGAGAGAGTAACTTGCGTGCGATCAGTTTGACAATTGCAATAAACTTAATTGAAAAGCATGTTAACAGCATTAAATTTAATTATCTTACCTTCCATGTGGCATGTCGGGAACCGTGAACAATGCCTTATTTCGTTTAGTTGTTATTGTTCTTTGTTGTGTATGGCCGGAAATGACTTCACTCAATTTCCCAGAATGTACTTTGTACTCCTAGGTATCACGTAGCTGCTTAGTTAAACATAGCGATCCTGCATGCGCTCGTGTCGGTTGATGCTGTAGTTAAGCCTGGAGTTTAAGCGGAGTGATTCTTAGAATAAAGAAGCTGATTAATTAGGGTACGTGTTGGTGCGTTTTCGACAAACTGGCGACCACGAAGGGACGGCTGAACGAGCATGGAAAAGGAAGTGGCAGATTTAAACGCGAACATTAAAACGTTAAGGTTTAGAGTCAAGAAGACAGACGAAATCCTCCAAAAGGATTATCGAGCGGCGTTGGAGAGACACAGAACTTCTCTTGAGAGTGTGGTGACCGCCGTTACGACCCTGAAAGTGTCTATAGAGGAGAAGAAGTTTGCAGAGGGTGAAGACGAACAAGCCGTTCAAGAATGGGCGGAAGAGTTTGAAGAATCGGTTGACGAGGCGGATAAATGCATGCGACAATTGGCAAGCAAAATAGAGCTGATCCATCGGAAATCTAAACATGAAGCCGCCGTCTTTGAGGACAAGCAAGCCATCGCGCTAGAGAACGAAAAGATCGAGCAACAACGAGAAGAGAAAGAGCGTGCGTACTCTGAAGAGTACGCTTTGAGCAGAAGAAAGTCGATCTGCAACAAGCACAAAAGAAGCCGACGGAAACCGCAGGAGCGACTAGCGATGTTGTTAAAATGCCGAAGCTTATAATTACTAAATTCTATGGAACACCTCAAGATTGGATGCGTTTTTGGGGTCAGTTTGAGACGCAGAATGACAAGTCATCTGCTCCAGAAGTAACAAAGTTTTCATATTTGAAAGAATTGCTAGTTTTGAAGGTCCGAAATCTGATCGACGACTTCCGTTCACGGCCGAAGGTTATCAAAAGACTATGGCAAGACGCTATGGCAAGACGATTGAAGTTGTGGGAACTCACGTTCGGAGCATACTCGAGCTGCCGACGATCAAAGAGAGAGAGGTGAGGAAGATTCACGAATTCTACGGGGTTCTGCTATTCAACATCGAATCCTTGCGGACTTTGGGAAGCCTAGACAAGTTGGATGCCGCAGTAACATTTACGTTTGACAAGCTGGGGGTCATAAAGAATGAACTTGCGATGATTAACGAGCAATGGAGCGAGTGGTCTTTTACGCAGTTCCTGGAAGCGCTGGAGAAATGGACTTTGAATAATCCGCTCTCCGAAGCTCCAAGAATATGGGAGGTCGGCAAGAGAAGAGCGAAAACTCGAGATTATTTTACTCCCAAAGTGGCGATCGTGAAGCGAAGACCTCCCGCGGTTGTTTGTTTTGCAAAAGCTCCGATCACAATGCAGTAAATTGTGATAAGATCGTGAATTTGGCGGAGAGAAAAAAGATCTTTCTCGAGAAGCGTCTATTCTTCAACTGCACAGGATCAAAGCACAGAGCGGAAGACTGCAAAAGCAAATCGACTTGCCCAAATTGTAACTCTCGGCATCACATGTCATTATGCGACAAATCGAACACACGTGAGCCTGGAGTGACAGCAAATAGCGTCGGAAATACCGGGGTAATTCAGCCTGTTGTCGTGGTGAGGATTGGTGGATTCAAGTTAGGAGCATTACTGGACAGTGGCGCAAGCCATTCGTACATTTCATCAACCGCAATTGAGTTAATAAAGGTACGCCTTAAGTCTACGGGGTTACGACAAATCGCCATGCTGACAGGAATCAGAACGAGAATCATGCAAGTATTTGATGTGGTCATAAGTTCCGTCGCCGGTGATTTTAAGCTCGACGTGGACATTACGAAAGTAAACAAGAGAGAGTTATTGGTCCTGGAGAATCCTAGCTACAAGCACTTAATTGAAGCAAATCCACACCTTAGGGGAGTACGAATGGATGATGAAGACACGAAGCAAATGTTACCCGTTCACATCATATTGGGAGCCAATGACTTTGCCAAAATATGCACTGGGGAGCGGCTGAGAGTAGGACGCCGGGGAGATCGTGTTGCTGAGTTCACAAGATTTGGATGGACAATTATGTCGCCTGGGCTGATAGTGGCTTATCGCCTGCACTGTTGGCTGTAAACTCCAATGCTGACTATGAGAAGTTGTGCGCTCTTGACGCATTAGGACTGGCGGACCCTGCAACCGGAGATCAGAGTGCTGTTTATGACGAGTTCAAGGAACAGTTAGTTCGTTCTCCAGAAGGATGGTACGAAACTGGGCTACCTTGGAAGGGTAACTGCCCTCCTTTTCCAAACAACCGGGAAGGAATTTTGCGCAGATTAGACACTCTTGTACGGAAGCTGAGGAAGACTGACCTGCTAGATGAGTATGACGCTGTAATCAGAGAACAGCTGGAAGAAGGCATAGTGGAGCGAGCACCTGTTGAAGTTACTGGAAGAGAGTTCTTCTACCCCATCGAGCTGTTGTAAGAAGAAATGCTGAGATAACGAAACTGCGAGTGGTGTACGACGCGTCTGCGCATGCGCAAGAGCAAGCCCCGTCGTTGAACGACTGCCTCCATGCTGGACCTCCATTACAAAACAAGCTGTGGAGTGTCGTTGTTCGAAACCGATTCCATCCAGTGGTAGTGGCTGGCGACGTTCGTGGTTCATTCCTGCAAGTGCGAATCCGAGAAACCGAGAGAGATGCCCTACGATTTCACTGGATCGCGGACAAGACAGCCAAGCAAGTTGAAACGCTGCGTTTCACTAGAGTGGTGTTTGGTCTCGCCCCTTCGCCATTCCTTCTCAATGGAGTGATCCAGCAACATCTAGAGAATCTGTTGTCCACATATCCTGATGCTGTGAAAGAGATCCTTAAGAGCCTGTACGTGGACGACCTGCTCTCTGGAGGGCCTACGATCGAAAAGGCGAAACAGCTAAAACGAGAAGCTACCGAGATATTCGATGATGCCAAGTTCGAACTGCACAAGTGGCATTCGAACAGAAAAGAGCTTGAGACAGCCTGGGAAGACTACGAGCCATCATTCGCCAAGGAGCAGTTAGATAACACACCGGCAATGGGAGAATGTAAACTCCTAGGCTTTTGTTGGGAGAAGGTCGAAGATACTCTGTATGTGTGTTTTCCAGCCACACCAGCCGAGCAAACGAGGCGTGGTATCCTGACCAATTTGGCTAAAGTGTACGACCCACTTGGAGTGGTGTCACCTGTCATGCTTGAAGGGAAAGTTCTGTATAGAGAATCCTGTATCGAGAAGAACGCTTGGGACGCCCTCTTGTCAGAGGAGACCATGAAGAAGAAGAAAAAGTGTGAGAGAAGTCTACCTGAGGCAGTGTCGGTGAGACGCAGTATTGCTCTCTACCAAGAAGAAATTGACGAGATTCAGCTCCATGCATTTGGTGATTCCAGCGATCGCGGGGTGTGTGCAGCAGTTTACGCCGTGGCCAAGCAAGCTTCAGGTATATCACAAGGGCTTGTTACTGCAAAGTCCCGTCTAGCGAAGCAAGGTCTTACGATTCCTAGGTTGGAGCTCGTGTCAGGTCACATGACCGTAAATCTAATCACCAATGTACGCCAAGCGCTAGAGGAACTAACTCTTGCGACTAAAGACCATTGCTGGTTGGACAGTTCTGTTGCCCTACACTGGATTTCCGATAAAGGGGAGTAGCGTCAGTTTGTGCAGAATCGTGTTAGTAGAATCCAGTCTCATCCAAACGTGCTGTGGCGTCATCTTCCGTCAACTGAAAACCCCGCCGATCTAAGAAGTCGTGGTGGTAGTGTGGTAGGCGCAGACCTGTGGTGGGATGGACCTGCTTGGCTCTCAGAACCTCTAAGTGGCCAGACGACATCATGCCGGAACCAAGCCGTGAAAGTATGGCAGAATGAAAGCTCCAGCAAGAAGTGTTCGCGGTTGGAGTCGAGACCCGTGATGCCTTGGATTTGGTGCTATGGAAGTTCGAACTGCGTAAGGCCATGAGGATTAGTGCTTGGGTCATGCGATTCCTGCATAATTCACGGAACTTCTCCAGCAAGACCAAGGGACCACTGACTACAGCTCAGGTTGAGAAATGTCAGATATCGATGTTTCTAGTCAAGAGAGCACAGCTACAGGGGATGAGCCACGCCAAATTTGACCAAGACCAAGAACAACAGAACCTGCAGCCTAGTGGAGAAGGTGTGTTGGAATGTCGAGGACGGATGCAGGGTGAGTACCCAGTATACTTGCCTGACTCAGCTCTACTAGCAGAGAAGATAGTGCAACGGGCTCACGTCACTACACTCCATGGGGGAGTTGGTCTAACCATGGCGAGAGTGAGAGAGAAGTTCTGGATACCCCGTCTTCGGAAATTGACGAAGAGAATCGTGAAATATTGTAACGGATGCAAACGCTCTCAAGCCGTAGCCTTTCCAAATCCACCACCAGCACCCTTGTCAACAGAAAGAACGAAAGGTAACCGGACCTTTGCCGGACCTGTGAAATACCATGACAAGCGCAAGGAAGAGAAAAAGGCATATGTGGTGTTGTACTCCTGCAGTCTAACGCGCGGAGTGTTTCTGGAGGTGCTGCTCAGCTTGGAGACTACAGAATTCATCAAGAGCCTAAAACGGTTGATTGCCAGAAGAGGACGAACGTCGAAAATCTATTCGGACAACGGTCAGACGTTAGTCGCAGCAGCCAAGTGGCTAAAGAAAGTAAAGAAAGATGAAAGATTTCACTCGTATCTAAGTGATCAGTCCATCATTTGGCAGTTCAACCTCAGCCGAGCACCCTGATGGGGCGGGAAATTCGAGCGACTGATCGGGTTAATGAAGTCAGCGTTCTATAAGACAGCAGGTCAAGGACAGCGAGAAGAAATATTATTTTTTTCCGTCTGGTTTTATTCGGCTTTCATAAAGCTTGCTAAACACGATCCATTAAGTTGCTGCTATCTACCTACTTTATATGCTGTCTTTTTTCTGTCTACCCTTTGACCTAATTAGACAAACAGGCTATTTTCACGTTTGCATCAGATGTTATGGAGAGGAAACAAGCCTTGCATACCGCCTCCCGGTTAGCTCAATTGGTAGAGCGCCGGACTGTTGTGCGGGAGGTCGTGAGTTCAAATCCGGCCGGACCAACACACAGGGTCTTTAATTAACTGAGAAGAAAGTGCTGCCTTTGTAATAATATCTGCAAATGGTTAGACTTTCTAGTCTTCTCGGATAGGGACGATAAATGGAGGTCCCGTCTCCTGCAGGGTTGGGGTAGGAGACGTTAATTTCCCACACACGAGATTACTGTGTGATGGATGTCCTCCCCGGGGTGGGATGGGTGGGTAAAAAAGGGGTTAGGTGTCAATTGGAACGAAAGTTCTGTTCCTTTCTCCTGCCATTCCTGTGGCGAATGAATTAAACTTAAACTTAAACTAAAACTTAAACTAACACAGGCTTCATGACTGACAACTCTCCTTTCTGAGTACTAGAAATTTTTGATTGANAAAGAGAATCCTGTCAAAACAGCCAAATACTTCTGCATACATTGGTATGTGACTGGCCAGTTTGGTATATTTTAGCCTAAAAAGATAATAATAATAATAATAATAATAATAATAATAATAATAATAATAATAATTTATTTCTTATAGAGCGCTATTTACAATGACAGATCAACAGCGCTTTACAATTAATGTACTAACCCACCCATCCCACCCCAGGGGAGGACATCCATCACACAGTAATCTCGTGCGTGGGAAATTAACGTCTCCTACCCCTAACCCTGCAGGAGACGAGACCTTCATTTGTTCGTCCCTATCCGAGAAGACTAGAATATCTAACCATTTCTTGATGTTATAGAAAGGTAGCATATTCTTCTCAATTATTTTAAGACCTTGATTGTTGGTCCGGCCGGGGCTCGAACCCTCGACCTCTCGCACAACAGTCCAGCGTTCTATCCATCGAGCTAACCGGGAGGTGGTTAGCTCAATGATCCCCTTAGATCCCCCTCATTGCTAATTGTGAGCTCTAAGAACTGATCTGCGCTTATTATTCGAGCCTCATCTATGTAGTAACTGACTTTCTGTAACTAGAGCCAAGCCGCTAAACTTGTTGAGAGTGGCGAAAAAAGCTTCACTCCAACAGTTGAACGGCTTCAGTTCTTCAGTTTACTACTTTTTTTAAGTTGATATCTGGATGAACCTTTGAACCAAACAATTTGTTGCCGAAATAGTCTCACTCAATTGCAGTGGTCAACGGTCCTGCCATCAAATGAGACTTCAGTTGGAATTGGCCGTTTTATTTTATGCAACTAAGCGGGGAGACGAGCAGAGATGAAGAAAACACGAAAAACCGAAGTCGACGTTAGCCTATCAAACACCGAAATATTGCCGAATGTTTCCGATGCTGTTGATGGAGCCAAAAGCAACGAAAAGCCGAAGCCTAGTCGAAATAAGCCGAAAATGTAATATGTAATTAAAAAATACCTAAACCCCACTGGAAAAATTTGGAGGGAGGAGCCAACCCAACCCGTGGGACCCGCTAAGTAATCTAAATTACATTAAATAAGCCGAATCAGAAGTTTGCTAACTTCTGCTTGAATTTGGAATTAGATTCATCCAGCGCTCTATTTTATACCAGTTCTTTCCGACCCACGAAGAAATTCACTTACCAAGCGTACTTGTCTTCCATCAGGGTCTTCTAATTGACTCATTCCCAGTCTTCTCGTATACAACGAAAAGGAAGAGAAGAAGAGGGCGTTAGACTCCTTCTTCAGTGCCTTTCAACGTCCAAAAATACAAGTCGAACTGGTCGCCGAAGTCAGCTCTTGGATGGTCTGGGCTGGACTATGGAATGGAACAGACTGATCTGGAAAGGTCGAACAGGACAGACATGGACTGAGCTGAGAGAACCAGAAAGAACTGGATTGGACGAGCTGGTACTAAATCGAAGTCGAACTGGTCACAAGAGTTAGTTCTTGAATGATCTGGGTTGTGTTGGGTAGTCTAGCCGACTCAGGAAGTAGTCAGGTAGTCAGGACCGATCTGGAATGGACTGAGAGAACTGGAGAGAACTGGTTGGTCTTCACTGGTCTGTAGATAGGCTAGGATTAGGCTGCTCTGGTCTGGACTGGACAGGACTGAGTGAAGGTCTGGGCGAATGTAAGATGTGTGGTGGATTGAAATGCATTAAATGAATAAAAAGGAACCTATATGATTTCTTTATTAGAGGTTATTAAAATGTAAGTATGACCCGAACTACTTTTATAGGAGATTGATATACAAGTCAGATCGAATCTTCAACGCTAAGATTTAGAGTTAAGGCATACTTGCTCTATCGTTTCGTGGTGATCACGACTCGTCCATATCTGCACCCTTGATTTACGCCCTCGGGAAAGAGTTCCATATAACCCCATACATTGATTATGCATTCATTTCATAAAGACTAAATATAAAGGTTTCTTTGCAACATTCTATGGATAATTAATGTATGGGGTTATATGGGACTCTTGCCGAGCCCTCGCCGTAAGGAGAATAACTTTGATATTTGTTTACACACATTATATGTTCGGGTTGGACACATGAAGCGGCGAAGATGTCGAATAATCACTGAACAGCGCTTCGACCAACGAGTTTAATGACGACGAAGAATAACAATATGTACAAAAAGATCCGGTCGCCCCTTCGTCAAAGATTACGAGACTCGGAGAGCCGTAAAAACCACATGATGAAGGGCGGTAAGCGAAAGAAAAGGAACAATTTTACGTACCTAAAAGTTTACAAGCGTTTCACCACGTGCGAAAAAAGGATAGCGAGTAAAATTACTACTGAAGGATTGTGGTCTACGTGACATACAAAAAAGAAGGATCGGAACGGACTAAAACACAAAACCTTGTTGAGGAATAGCCTCAACATTATACTTTCCAGACATTTGCACCAATTTAGCAAAAGATGGGAGAATAACTGTAATAAGTGAAGGAAAGATTTCCGGATAACCCCATACTTCGTTATGCATACAATTCTTGGATAAAAGAAAGCAGAGGCGAAACAACATATTGCCTTTGGGATTACGGCTGTTTTTGATTGGTATGGGGTCATACGGATCCTAACCGAATATTAAGGTCGGATAGCAGAATTGAAACTTTCCTCGATTGAACGGCTCGAGGCGAGAAGCGACTATCAATGTGCAATGTAATGAAAGATAACTCACCGATGAAACCACGCCCGCGATTCAAAGGGTTTTGATTGTCCCCTCTGCAAAATGAAATCATTAAAAGAAATATATATATATATCTTATTAGACGTTTTGTTGTGTAGTATCGCTGAGTATTTTTACGAGTTGTGCCGTATTTTGACGAGCCCGTAGGGCAAGTCAAAATACAAATAACGAGTAAAAATACTCAGCGATACTACACAACAAAACGCCTAATAAGTTATTTATTATTCAACACGCCAAACAATCATTTCAGTGCGGGCGAATTTCGCGGATGTTTATTTACGGGGAGTGCGTGACAGAAGATTGCAAAGCGGAACGGAATTGCCGCGTTGTCGTGTTGCTGTTTCTATTTTCTTCAATAAATGAAGAAATTTCCTGGTCGTCTAGCTATTTTTCTTCCTTGAATTCATCTAATAAACTTGGATTTACATTTGCAAGCCACTGTTACTCTTCGTCGCTGGAAATATAATTCAAATTGTCCGCCATTTTTTTTTTCGTAACTACAATCCAATTCTTTGCTTGCGCGATGCGAGAAAACCTGTTTAACCGGTACTCTAGAGTACAAATACCGCGTGATATTTGTAGTCGTCTATGGCGTTATTTGTACTCTACGAATTGTAGTTGGATAATAAAAAAGGGTACTTCGATTTCCATGATACGTACACTACTGATTGGATACTCCGTTAACGCTCACTGATGCTTGATAAAGAAAATCTAAGAACTCTAAATTGTATTCATACTTTTTAAACCTTTGCCGCTAATCTAAATCCTTGTATTGCCTTAAGGGTTTTACTAGTTTGTTTGTTTTTGCGAGAGCTTACGCCCGTGGAGTAGTTATTTGGTCTAATCTTGCTGTTGCACACAAATGATTCGCAGCAGCGAAGAGAACATATGTACATAATTCATTCGTTTGCCACATCATTCAATTCTTCTGGTAATAATGAATCAAAATGAAACAAATATGCTTCACAATAGTCATGAACTGGCCCATGTTTAGGATAAAAGTGACTGCATAACAAATCCTCTAGATGAGAACATCCATTAATTGTAAAATCGAGGGAAAAATTCAACTTTGTTATACCTTTAACTAATACACTAGGTATGCAGAAAAATCTAAAAAGCAAGTCTAGAAAACTAGGTTGCGTTTATTAATAGGAATTTACCAGTCCAGTAAAGAAATCGAAGAGCAGAGCGGTCCTGTCTTATGTAAGACTTTAGCATAAGTGAGAGGCAAAGCGAGCTTATATGTTTACAAGATGATGACAGTATGTTTTCATGAGCGTCAATCTTTCAACGTAATAAACGAAGGTTCTTTCAGTTCCCTCTGGAAATATCCCTGGAATTAATCCTCAGATCATTTTATTATTTTATTATTTCTAAACAAGAATATAGGCCAGTTTGAAAGAGAGCTTTGCTTTGGAAACATGCTATCACCAATGCACGTGGCCGCTTGGAAATTCTTTAGCTCGGATAAAGCACGGCTTACTTTTTATCGAATTTCACTATCTTAAAGTCAAAATCTACCAAACTGCTTTTAACGTTTTCCTAGATGATAGGTACATCCAGCTCACTTTTTTAAAAAAGAATTCAGACAGTACTGAGTAAGAATCCTAACGACGTAAATTTACAGCAACTTTCTGCTCTCAGTGTGCAGCTGTCTGTGGTTTATTCTATCAAGGTTTTAGCGCTATGATAATTTTACAAAGCGCGCGCCAAGCACTTGTTCCCCCAAAGGGTTGCATTCTTTTTTCTTATTGGTCTGTTCAATTGCACGGGTTTACCGTGTCACGCATTTTTCCATTTGTCCGTTTGATTTCAGTGTAGCTGGTAAGGATATTCAACTATCTGTTCACTTTCGCCCCTAAAACAGCTCAAGAATTTCTCTGAAAAACAAATAGCCTCCCTATTCGACTCTTTTTCCCAGGGGGCACTGCAATGTGGCTGGCGCGGCATGTCCTACATAGTTTCTCACTCAACCAATATTTTTTTCGAAACTGTTATTTCATTAAACCAACCGGCTGAACCCAAACTAGACAACGAAAGAAACAAAATCGAATAAATAGGAATAGCCTAACTGAAATAGAGATATATGTTGATAAATATCCAGAAAAACACTTCCTTAACAACAACGGTATAAACTTACAAGACCGTCTGTTCAAGGAAAACTCGAGTTCCCAATAATCTCGCTATGAAGTCAAGCGAAATATTTCTGCACAAAAAGAAACACAACGATGATTTTTGCTGCGCAGAGACGAACAGAGATGTATTGATATATTACCAGCAAATTGCAAACTTAATGATTTAAATAGGTGGTTTGCAACCAATCTCTAGAGACACAGGTAACAATAGCGAAAGGAACAAATGCTGGTGGACGAGCAAAAGAAGCTAATGAGATATCTATTGTTTACGTCCACCAACATGGCGGCAATGATGTAACATAAAAACCACTTATATTGTCCTTGCACCAGACATTGAATGTCATCCCGGAAACAAAATCCGTGAAGGGAAGAATAAGTTATTCAAGCAGATGCGTAGCTCCCTTTTGAGTAAGCCCGGTCTTACAAACTTTTTTCGGAATGTTTCTTTTTTTCTTGGAATATAATCCCGCACTATATTCATGAGGTATGGAACAGGCTTACAAGCCAAAAATGACTTGCTACGCCCCTGCCAAGCATACGAAAGCCATGGATTTTAAAATTCTCTATGCCAGGTTGTGATAGATAAGACCTTCTGAAAAGCCTGCTTATTTTTCCTGTATATTTTCTTTAACGTTTAAAGTGCACCTAGACCCAAAAATGTTTTTCGCTTAACGAAATTATCGTATTTTTGGAGTATTTCTGTACAAAAACGTTTTTATTTGCTCAAATCTTCAATTTTCTGTGCCCAGTCAAAATACGGAAAATCGGCCGCCATCTTGGCTCACGACCGAGTTTAAAGAGGAATGGCTCTAGCGGGTAATGTGACGTCAAATCGAGAACAGGAAAGTCTGTATTTCACACATTTTCACTTGTCTGGGAAGGTTGTCGTCGATATTGTCCGAAATGTGCCGACTAGGAGTGTTGTATGAGGAATTTATTAAGCGCGACACCCTCTTGCAAATTTCACACGTTGCTACATCCTCCTACAACACACTTAGTCGGCATATTTTCGGACAAGATCGACTATAACCCTCCCAAACAAGTGAAAATGTGTGAAATGCAGACTTTCGTGTTCTCGATTTGACGTCACATTACCCGCTAGAACCATTTCTCTTTAAACTCGGTCGTGAGCCAAGATAGCGGCCGATTTTTCGTATTTTGACCGGGCACAGAAAATTGAAGATTTGAGCAAATAAAAATTTTTGCACAAAAATACTGCTAAAAATATGCTTATTTCGTTAAGCGAAAAACTTTTTGGGTTTAGGTGCACTTTAATGAGTGTAGCTTCACACTATAACATCTATACACATACATTATCCAGCAAACAAGTTATGAGAATACTCAAACTAATCAGGTAGTTGTTGTCTTGATCTAACAAAAGATTAATTCGTATAGTTATACTGATAGAGGTAAGGATGAAGTTTTTTTACCCCTCAAAATTGGCATTTTTTCATTCCTGCGCTTCAAAAGGCCGTCAGTGCTAATTCATGTGTTAAAGTGAAACAATGTTTTAATCACCCTTCTATGATAGCGTTTATTGCGCTAATCTTCTTCCGAGGTTTTGTTTTTCATGTAGGGTACAACTGAACATTAAAATGTGCAGTAGGACGACTCTCTTCCGAGATAGTAAAACAGTAAAGAATTAAGTAAACTCTAACGGTGGGTTAGTTTTACTGTGTTTAAACTCGGCGCTGGAGATGTTTTCAAAGCACGAGGACAAAATGACTCTTACAGAAATACAGTTTATTTGCGGCGTTGTTGTATTATCAAAAAGCTCTAACTCTTAACGTTTTACTATTGAAGAAGTCTTGTCAGTTGCACAACTAATATAGTAAAAAGAGGCCTTCTTGTATCATTTAAGTGTCATGGATGCGAGAACGGCGAAAATAAATATGGCCGTGGAGCCTCCATATTCGTGACCCCTCCCTTCAGGTATTCACATTTTTTTCTATCTGTTTCATAAATTGTGCTTGTTTGAAGTCCTGCTTAATTTTCATCTGTGGTTCCCTGTCTACATAGAATAGGGATCAGATACTGTTGTCATTTCCCAGAGCGATTTAAGGACTCAAATGATTACCCTTGCGCTGGAACAAGGCAAACGATCGCGAATCTGCAAGAAACTCAGCTAGTCAAAAATTAAACGTTTGCAGTGAACAATCTAACAAGAATTACCCTCATACTTTTTATAATTCGGGTCAAAACTGCCAATATGATATACACTCTGTACGATCCAGTGGCGGATCGAGGGGAGGGGCCGCCCCCC